GACCCGAGTTTCCTACCACCAAGTGAAGCCTTAGCCTCACTCACCCGACATTTATAACTCTCCACTCGTCTGCTTCAGCTTACTATTGAACTCATTTCTGCCAAACGGAACTATGTGCATACAGACATGAGCCCTGAGACCAATTAGAATATATGCATTCCAGGGCTCACGTCATAATGCACATAGTTCCGTTTGGCAGAAATATGTCCAATTAGCGGATCTGCTCCGACGGCACTGACAAGTCGCAAGAGTGGACTGGCCAGGGGAGCCGGGATTCTTACGCCTCTAATGAATATGCCAAAGCGGTGGGCTCCTTTGCCTCCCTTCCCAATGATTACTATGATTAGTTGTTCTGTATTCTTCAAAGAGTGGTTACTCTTTCATCCCGATTTAGTCTGCTAGGGGCCGCAGTGGTCTTTAGGCTTGTATCTAAAAGATTTGAAGGGGCCTCTAAAGTCTCTTTAAAATATACAAGGATACTTGGACCGCGTTTAGCAGAAAGGAACCAAGCCACATCAGCTATTGCAAAATTTTCCTGGGCAATATTACGTTTTACAAGTAAACATTTGTACGAATTCTTTTGAAAATGTTTAAGAATTTGCTCCGTACTATGCAGAAAATTCACTGAAATTTGCACAAAAATTGGCACAAAATTTTCATGCAAAAAATTGAATTGCCCAGTTAAGTTTGGCAATAGCTGATGTAGCTTGGTTCCTGCGGTCCATTTGTGGTCCTAAGAAATCAATGTTACAAAATTTAAAGGTTCAACTCGGGCCTGAGGCAATCAAAAATGGATCCCCTGGTAGGCGCCAATGGCCATACTCTCCCTATAAAAGCACTCTACTCTAGGCCAATCAAAAGTACCACGTGAGATGATGCGAGATCGTTATCAATTTTTGTCGTTTCAAGCGACGCCTTATCAGGTCTAGTGAGCTTTAGCTTGGCCGTCCGGCTTCCCATGTTGATAAGGCGCTAGGGTTTCCCTCTTACATCAGCCAAATTTTTTCTCACTATCAGTCCGTTTGTCTCCCTGGCTGGGTCTCACTGCGTGTAGCGTCCCCGTTTGTTTACGGTGTAACTTACGACTTAACGAGCCGCGGGTGGATTGGTCGTGACCACAGGGACGTCAAATAGTCAGTCGGTTGTGCCAGTCAAATGAGAGATCAGCAGTCTGTTCGTAATATTTGGATACTTTATGTGGGTGCACGCTGAACGGAAATTCGAGATGGAGTACTTTCCCTTGAGCAGTAAGTTTTTGCGCTGATTTTGAACTAAATCGTATGCTTTTAGATGATATTTGGAAGTATAAGTTGACCGATGTAATGTTCAGTGTTCGAAACTCAGCTTTGAGTTTTAGGAGCCAAATGTCGCATCAAGTCCAATTTTTACGCGCCATTGAAGATTTTTTAGGGGCCAAATTGACTTTTTGCCTATATATTACGGTGCATTTAGTGAAAAGTTAGATGCAAGATGTTTTCGCAACAGGACTAGTAGGTAGCTGTAACTTGGGGAAGAGAAAAGCGCAAAGGATGAAATCGTGAAGAACAGAAAAAGCTTTCACTTGTAGTGTTGAAAATTTCGAATAATCACCTGATGTGAAAATTCAGATTTTTAGAAGGTAATTCTTAGAGGCCACGTTAGCGCAGAACCTTCATTTTTTAGGCGCCATGGCCGATTTTTTAGGCGCATTTGGCGCAAACCGGAGGCTTGCACAATTACTGATGGTCACTGGATCGGTTTAAATATTTTTGGGTCGGACGCAGATCCAAAAAAGGGCTGATTATCGCCGAATTTTTCAGAATGAGACCCCTCGCTTCTCTTTATTAACAGGCCTAAATATAGGTCTTCAAATTTAATTTGATGAGATTGAATGTACCTATAAAAAAGCAAAAATACCGAGATCATTCTGTAGGTTTCAGAGGAAGGAATGTGTTGAAACGCGTTTAAATTCAAGAATATGCACAATTTAATAATCTAATTCCTAATTTCGAAACGTACCTATCCGCAAGCTCATCGTGACAGCATTCGCAGAGATACTACATTGCAGTGCACATAAGAGTACCTAATTGCTTATTTTTTTTCAACGTAAATACTAAATTAAATCGTGCTCATTTTTTGTTATCAAATTATTTTACGCACAGTTACGTCATGACTGATATGAACGATGAGTAGTGCTGTATTACTGACAATTTTCCTCATACTCTCCAGACGCGACATTAAAAAGATCGAAAAGTTTCTGAGGTTTATTTAGTTTGGTTTTTGGTTTTTGAGTGGCAAAATATCGTGGTTAATGAGCATTATATTTTCACAGAAACTTTATAAAATCTGCCTTTATTCGACGCGCACGCTAAAAACAAGTATCTATCGTTGATCGCGGAGAAAGGAAAGCCATTGGCTAGCACCGGCCGGCTAAAATATGGTATTGAGAAACTTTTACGGAGGGTCAAAGCGGAAGTTGTAAAACAAGCACGCGTCTAAAAACCACCGAAAGAGAGGCTTGTCCGGTTATCACTGGTGCGGTGCTTTCTCACGTTTAAAATAGCTTGCTAATTCAGCATTGTTAGTCATATCTCACTTAAATTTAACCCTTTGTCTGTCTTATCTATATTTCCTCATTGTTTTTCTTAATAACCGTTAATATTGTTGTCGCTTGTTTTTTCTCGATAATATTGAGGTGTTGCCAGACATTTGCTGGAGACATCTCCAGGGGGATATTTTTAATACATAAATAAATACGTATTCAGTTTATAATTAACCAAGTAGCTATTTAGTTCAGCGCTTCTTTCAGAACAATCACTTATTCAAGCGACTTGCAAATCATTTTGTTGGGACGACCATATACCTAACTCCATACCGCGACCAGTTTCCTGGTACAAACTTCGAGTACGAACAAAATGAAGCCTCCACAATCTTCAAGCTCCATACTTCTCACTGTCCTTTTACTTACTGTAAGCTAAAATATTCTAATTATAATAGCTTTTCACCCCTACTCTTCAACCGTGCACAAATGTTTCTTTTCGTCATTTCAAGACATAAACACTAAAGCAATGTAAGCTACTTACGATGTTAGCGTTATTTTAAACTTTTGACTCTTTCTTCCTATTTTTGTACGTTCACTTTATCCTCATTCTCCTTTTGTCCTTTTTACTTTTCCTCCCGTCTTTCTACTCCTCATCATTTCTCCTCTCTCATGTTGGCACCACTGTTCTTTAATGACGCCTGGTGCAGCCGCTCCTGATGCACCACCCTTAATCTGTTCCTGCTCTAATTTTAGATCCTCGTCGCGTGTAAAGTCCTTTTATACTGAGAGCAAAGACAATGCGAATTCATTTCTGATTGGTTCCCATATTTTAGGCCTTCACAGTGTCACAAACGGGAATAAAGATTACATTGTTACCAATAGCAAAGATTATAATCTGGAATGGATCGGGACATTGGGGGTACGACAACGAACAAATGGAATGAGAGAGGGAACGGATACAGGATTTCAGGAATGGGTTGATCAAAGATCAGAAAAAACGTCCGCTTTGTGTAATCTTTATTCCCGTTTGTGACATCCATGAGTCGCATTGCCTCAACTCTCTCTATGAAGATACTCTACCGAAAAGAGGGCTCTTTTAAAGTTTGGAGGAAGGCTCCTTTGATAATAGATTAGTTGCGATTGCGGAAATTGGCTTTCGGTTTCCATCGATGAAATGGGAGTAGCGCGCGAGGATGAGACGGGCAAGGACGAAGACGCGGATGGCTTAATCGCGAGCTTGTTTTGCCGGTAGGATATCTTCCCGGCGCAGAGCGGTAATAATTAAGATGAATCGGGGGTTGGTAGCGAAGTGCCGCCTGCCGCCTCTACTCGGGAAACCACGTCCATATCACTCGCGCAACTTCGACGTCTGGCGGCTGACGTCTGCTTTATGGCTCGCACGTAATTAAAAGTGTCGAAACGACGAATAAATTGTAATTAATCTCTCGGAACTCGGCGCAGCTTTCCATTCCAGCTCGTCACGTAAAAGATATGCCGGGGACATATTTTTAAAGCACGCCTTCCCGGAGGAAAACCTTTCCGACTTGAATCGTTATTAATAGTTTGCAAGGATCCAGTCGAGCCGACACGATGACAAATACGCCGATAATCAAGTGAGTATTCCTCGTTTCTCTAATTGTTGATCATGTGTTTCTTCATGAGCCATTACTCAGGCTCATCCTTTGTCTATCATTAGGAATGAGTCTCATAAATCACCGCTACATGTTACGAGTGGTTATATCAGATCAGCGCGCGGCGCAACACTGCGCTGCCTGACATCAGCCAGAGTGCGCTCTTGCTTTACGATCGACTGATTTAGTGACTACGTCATACGATATAATATCGAACTCTTGGTTCAAACCAAAACAAATTAACATAACCTCATGTAAGAATGCTTCATGAATTAATTCTGCCAATTTATAAGGATTTAGTCATGGACCGGCCATAAATCAACTAAAGACTCATTGTAAGAACTCATTCGATTGTAAGAAACACTTAGACGCAGTTTACCACCATGGTGCAAAGGGCGCGAAATGGTACGAATCAGAAACAATGTTCTGTGTTTTTCAACATTTGAACCAAGGGTTCGATATTATATCGAATGACGTAGCCACTAAATCAGTCTATCAAGGTGATTTACAGGTTTTCGATGAGTGGATTCGTTAATCAATTGGATTTTCAATAATCGAAAATTCAGTGATCAATGGATAATTGAATTGAGTCAAAATTAATTGATTCATGTTCATATTTTGAAACGGTAAAGTTTCAAAATAACAACCAGCATTAGAAAAAAAGTTTCTTGGTGCCAGAGTCTAGACTCTTCAAAAATTTGGGGGAAAAAACTTTTGATTCAATCGTATTTTTGCTTGAATCGAGAGTCAAGCCTCTCAATTTAAGCGGATTTCCTTTTGGTTTAAGCAAAAATCCGGTTGAATCAAGAGTATTGTTTCTTGTGAGATTTTTCAAGAGTCTGGACCTTCGGATCCAAGAGACTTTTTTTCCAATGTGCTGTTCCCTATGGGATGCCCGCCAGGGTTTTCAAGCGTGAATTAGCTCTACTTGTGATGAATATGATGATAAAAAAATATGTGTACAGAATACCAAAGACATGGGCTCTGAACTCACCGTATGTTGATTAACATTGTTGACTGAACTTTGCCCGAACTCTTCCGAAAAAAAAAAAAAATTAAAAATATATTGAACTGCGCACCGATTTTTACTAAAGTGACCATGAAACGACTTTGCCGTATTCGTCGTTCTTACATCAGAGACAGTAGGTGCCGCAGCCCACGTTATACGACGGGAACGTTGTTATGTCTTAAAAAATTAATGCATTATTTGAAAAATTGACAATGTTGCAATAAAAATCAGCAATAGTTTACTTCATGGGTACAATAGGCAACGCTTGAATCTAGTTGCAGTGCAAGAGAAACAAGCAATTTTCCTTTAGTTAGTGTCAAATACGACGAACATTTATTTTAACTCTCGGATGCAACTATTCGAGCTCCTTGGATGTCCGTGTTGCATACCCACGAAAGGGAAGGCGTTTTGACTGCCGGGCGTTCACCCGCGGTCCGCGGCGCCAATGGTGGGCTTTACCGTGCGGATCATAAAAAGTAGAGAGCTTTCAATTATTCGTTTGTACAACAAAAACATCTCCTAGGCACGAGCAGTTGCAAACAAGCGTAGGATATGAGTAACTTTTGTACGTCAGTTTTGATATCGGGATGTGCTAAGCATTATATGGAGAGCACCTACTCATGCCTATGACATGTCTTCAAAGTATAAACAAAAAGGCATTTACCAGACATTAGATCATATTACATCCGCGCAGTAAAGCCTGTTGTACAATTATACGAGCCTCTCAGAGAGAATGGACATGAAATAGAGAATTTGCAGGTGTTTGAAATTTAATGAATTTCGTGTTTAAGTGGAAACAACTGACTGAACTGAAAACGAGGATGCCCTTTGTTCATGAATTGAACAATTATTAGAGAAGATATGACAAAATTATCCAATCTGCTAAAATACGTGTGTTTAAATGGGAAATGCCGCCAGATGACGTCACTAGGCGGTGCGTTTTCTTACTTCTAAATCTATTTTTTATGCTATTTCCCATATCAGAAAAATTATAAAAAATACTGTGAAATCAGCTCTTTAAGCACTTTCAGATGAAACAAATAAAACATGTGTGTGCAAATTCTCCATTGTTGCCTAAATTACAAATCTTAATATTTATCTCTGACATTATGACTTTAATGGGGGTGTTTCTTGCAGGAAATTTCACGAGAATATCAATGAAAAAAGTACTTAAACCTTAAAGTTCCGAATTAACATCGATATGAGCTTTTAAAGTTTCCACATTTTGTTCGACTCCTCTCACAGACTCGCTCCACTGAGCGCCGCGCGCCGCTGGTGAGGCGGTCATTGTCTGAAGTCAAAACGCCTTCATCTTCGTGCGTATGCAACACGGACATCCATGGAGCTCGAATAGTTGTATCCAGCCCCTATAATGAAATTCGCTTAGTATCCATCGCATGCGACACTAACTGGAGCTTTGATTATTTCTCGTACATCTTAACTTAATTCCAGCGTTTTCCATTGTACCTATGAAGTAATCCATTGCTGATTTTTATCACGACATTGTCAATTTTCCGAGGTATACCTTATTTAAATGTATCAAAACACTGCCGGCCCGCCAAATCGCATAATAATCGGGTATCTGAGCATAGCATATGTGAACTTACCTTTAACCTACTTTAATGAGTCATCCATGTTCGGTTTTTTTTTTTTTTTTTTTTTTTTTTTTTTGTCTTCCCCCTTAGAAATACTAATTTTGACGTTTAAAAGTTAATTTCTCAGAAAAAAATTCTGATGAATCTCACGTAATCTGGATCGAAAACTATGACCATTGCATTCGTCTCCCGACAAAATTAAATGCGACAGGAAATCTGTGACATCACAACCCTATTTGCACGTATATACTTTCCTAGGTGTAATGGCGTATCTTCAGCACAATGAAGTCTGGTAAATGTATTCGTGAAAATTATACTATGATCTACTCTGGTAAAGTGGAAACGTGGACTGCGTCTAGTTAGATATTTACTTTCTTTCTTAAAAGTACGCATAATAAAACGCTGAATGAAAGAAATTGGTATTTTTTTGGACAAATTCCAGTCGTATTCTTAATCACATCAACTTGATCATAGTTTTCAACATCCGCCACCGCCCCACCTCCATCCTCCTTGCCGGCAAAAGGACGTAACCTCAGTTACAAATAAGCCATTTCATGAATAAATCTTAATGCTATCCAGGACTCATGAAAATTGAGTTGAGCCTTTTCCGCATTGAATGACGAATTTTCACGCACGAGCGTTCCTGGGGTTAAAATCAAGACACGTATTTTTGAAGAAAATCAAAAATAATTTGGAACTGAGCTAGTAGGAGCGCCGTGAAAAGGACGCCGGCACCGCGACGCGTCGCGTCGTCGCGCGGAAAAACAATGCGTCGTCGTAACGTCACGACGTCAGTTGCGTCGCCACGGCATACGTGAGACTGTTGTACAGTAGTGTAGATATTGAGACAGACTAGGAAATTCTAGGTTTCAGGAATATTTTTTTTTTTTTTTAGTCGAAGAAAAAAATGTTTTAGGGTAATTTTTTGTTTAAGAATTTTCGGGTTCTTAGTAAAAAGACAAAATCTCATTTGAAAGCCCGAGACTAGTTTTTAAAACATTTTTTAGAGTAATTAATTCTGCATTTGAGGTTCTTACGGGTTCGTACGGGAGAGATACTTTTTAAAGGGGCTAGATAAATCTCTTTGGCAATATATCCAGTTTTTTTTCTTTTTTACCTAATTTACGACGATCAGCAACTAGGCTATTTACGTCGGAGACCGGGAAACCTTAAATTTTTAAATTTAATTGTTTAAAGAGTTTTAAAATTGCGGTGATTCCTATTGGATCATCTGCGCTTAAAGGATGGATGTTATGAGGGAGGGAATTCTGAATTTTGATGCGTGTGTCATAGGTTTTTGGGCAAGAAAGCAAAATATGGTCGATTGTAAGGGGGTATATCTTGTTTGCCTTTGTTCCTTGCGGATCAAGTTACACGAGGTGCGGTGGACAGTTATAATTTGACGAGTGATTTCGTATTTTTTTTTTTATTTTCTTATTTTTTTTTTAATATCACTGGGCAAAAAATAATAACAGCATCATATTCACAAGCAGTTATTTTGAAACTACACACGATCTCGATCGAATAAAGTATATCAAAATTTCAATTCTTTTAGATCCAATCTGGCATAGCACGAAACAATAAGAAATAAACGCAAAATTTGCAAGGTATGTTTCAATGGGTTTTCGTGCTTACGAACTTACCTCGTTTACTTACTGGAAGACGTAAGACGACGTCATTGGACACTCTAATGAATTTCTTCAAATGGTCACGACTTTGTGTTGCTCCCTTCCATACTCCCGCGCTAAGGAAGAACGCCGTATGAGCCTTCAGACACTGCCAAGTTTCTACCGATAAAAACCGAAACTACTGGGAAAATTGTGAATATCATTTTCCAAAATTTTCAGACATTATTGGCCGTAATTTAATCTATAATGTCTTAAAATTTCAAGGAAAAGTATGCATTAATGTTGTCAAACATACATGCTTTATCGAGGGAGATTTAGCAACTCTCGAGTGTTCATACGGCGTTCTTCCTTAGCACGGCAGCATAGGCAACTGCAAAGAGCGTTTCTGCGTGATTTTTTAGGAAATATCCAAAACTGAGCACAATCTAGAAACCGTGATTTAAGAATTAGTGAAATTATCCGCGCGAATGCGCATAGCTGGAAGGATGCTGGCACGAGAGTGTGCCGAGTCCGATCGTGCTATGACATGGCTTTTAATCGGTGCGCCACCGTGTCCTCTCTCCGCATGCAGCAATTATACATGCACGCACTCTGCCCATTGTAGCTGTATTATATCAGCCGTTTCCGATGTGTCGACACTTTATTGTTCGTTTTTTGAGCATTAAAATTAAGAGACGACCCATGCTCCCCTCGTACAATTCTCTTGTTCTTGCTCTTAGCCGAGGAGTATAATACAAGATCGATAACCTT